TGCCCACCGAAAGAGAAAAGCACGGTAAACAAGAGAGACAGGTGGGGGGAGGAGGGGTTAACCATCCAATTTCTCCCACGAGAAATATCTCGTAATCTGTCGGAACAGATGCAACTAGTTCGTTCTTTCTAATTCCTCCTCTTTTCCTCCTTTATCTCTTTCTCGTCACTTTCGTGCGTCGATGGTGGAAAAAGTATCTCTATGTTTCCTCTTTATTTTTCCTCTCTATTTTTTTTTTCCTTCCTTCTTCTTTTATATCTTTCCATTTCCATCGTCTTGTGCATTTTCTCCTCCGCTTTTTATCCCATTCGCGATAAAGAAGAAAAAGTGGAAATTGAAAGAGATTGCGACACTCTCGTATAGAATTACCCGCCTTCGTTTATTGTAAAATTACTCCCCTCTGTTTCATCTGTCGACGCTATTAACCGCTTGCCTCCTTTTCATATCGAACTTTCTTTGTATTGGAATCTTGGAATTCTCGAATTGGAATCTTTAAATTATTATTTTTTTAAAGAAATATCGAGGAAAGGAATGTTGTATAAATTTTTGGAATTCAGCTTTTTCGAAAATCTATTAGATATCTTAATATATATATATAACTTTTACGAGATGATTCTTAATTGATGTGATAAAGAATCATAGATATTTTCTTCAAATCAAATCGTTAGAGGGAGATTTTCTAAAGATTCCTTTTTAGCTCAAAAATTTTCTTAAGAATTAACGGAATATGCATGTAAATGATTCTAAGTAACGTTTCAAAAAAAATTCCTTTAATTCGGACGAATCTCTAGGGAGAAGATTTGTTTCAAAAATTTTACGGAATATATTTCGAGTATTTGATCAAAATTCTCTATACTTTATTAATTTTCCCAAATTTCGAAGAATCATCAAAGCACCTTTTACCCTTCAATCAGATTTTCTATTGGCAAATTTCTTTACAATTTTTGTCCATAAAAAAAAATATTTACACGTACTTCACCGTACCTTTTAAAATCATCATCAGAGCTTAAGAGCTTCGATCCCTTATCCCTTCGCTTTGATGATGTCTCCGTGGGAAATATTCTTGAAAATTTTCAATTATTCATGCACGCGCAAATTCGATTTATCAGAGAGTCAGTCTCGAAGAGATTCGTTAAACGGCAAAGAACTCGGAGATCCGTTTGAACTGGAAGGGAGTTAATTCTTCGCCACGGTGTGGCGCGGTTTGTAACGGGGTTAATTAAGTCGTGAACGATGCGAACGGGTACACATGCTTCTTTGTGCCCGAGATCGCGCGAGTTGAAATCGTTTACGAGGAAAACGAGCACGGTTAACGAGCAATTCATACGCCGCTGACGCGCTGAAATGATGGGAATATAAATATCGCCGCATTGTCCAGTGTTTCATTTGGACATGGAGCTTGTCGCGCGTGATCTTGTTAAAGGAAACGAACAAAAAGATGATGGTTTTTCAGATTTTATTTGCAAAAATTCGTCCTAGAAGCGACCGTCGCTGTTATTTCGAGCAAAAGGATGTGAAATTTTTTAAGAATATCGAGGTCATTGTGACGATTCAAGAATACCCGTTTGAGGAAGAGTTGATGAAAAATTGTTTAAATTTCGAGCAGAAATACATACTGACTACAGAGAGAAATGAAGTTCGTTTGTTTTTCAAGAATTTTTTTTGAAAATACTTGCATCTTGGAAAGTATATCTTCATCGAGATTTCAAGAAAGAATTTAACGTATCATAATTTCCCATTGAATAGTAGAAACTGATCCAGCAAATATTTATATATTTACCAGAGGGAAAGATTTGATCATAAATTTCGAAACATACGAAATCGCATAATCCAATCCTTTGCCGCTTCTTGATTGTCACGATCGAAAATTTATAAGAGAACACGTGTCGCGTTGTTGCCAGGTAGAAGCATCATCCTCTCTGTACTCGAGGATGGAATAAACGTGCAGGAATGGATTGCCCAATGGCGAACGTTTTGGCCACTGATTCACCGCTTGTGTCACCGCCTCTCCATTTCCCCGTATTTCGTCCAACTAACCGAATAATTCGAGAAATGATACAAATCTCGCTTTACCTATCCGCAACATTCTTCATCGGGTTAACACGTGATCGTCGGGGATATATTTCAAGCTAGAATTGTTGGAGGTTGCTGTCGAACAAAGCGTTCAAAGATTTATCGTTCTTCGACGTCGTAGAAAATATTTGTTTGAGTATTAATAATTTTTTAAAGTGGTATATCGTTTGAACTTATACGAAGCATATTTGAAAGAGTGTTTTAATTAGTATTAAGAGGGGAGGATGTATTTTTATTTCAAATACCAAGAGTAGTGGGGTAGTGTAAGTAACGAGGTCGTAAAGATCGATCAGAGGTCGAAGTTTAGAACGTTCGTGCGAATTGATAGGAGCTCGAGGAGATAAGAGTGTGAAAACCTTTTAGTTAGAACGAGATATCGCTCCAATTATCTTTTCTCACGTGCTGCCCTTCTTGTTAATAATTCTTCTTCTAAAAATTTTTTCCCCCTTATAAACGTCCCCCTTTCCATACCTGAAATTCTGAATTTCTTTCTTTTTCTTGCATCGTCGCTTTGTTTCGATCGCAACAACTTAGATAGATTCGCTTCGTAAAAGTACGAACTGCTTGGACGCGGCTGCAGCGAGTGAAAAAGGAACGTGTACGGTCGGACAAACAGCGTCAGACTGTACGCGTGCTTGCTCTCCTTCTAAAAAAAAATTACTAATTACCAATTCATTCAAAAATTCGACGATATTCTCCTTCATCAAGAAATTTATTTATTATATTTGCAAATTAAACTTGTCTTTCATCTTTAGAAACTTGGAACTTAAAAATTAATCCAACAAAAATAATAAATAATATAGAATACGAGATAGAGAATCGAACGCAGAGACTTTCACCGAGTTAAAATAATTAATACCACTCCTTCTTTCCAACGAAGCAGGAATTGCTATTTATAACAGTATATCAGTGGATCGCAGTCAACCTCGTCCTTCAGTTCGATCGTTTCGAAGTTAACGCGGATTTAGTGGCGAGAACGACGCAGCTACTTTGGCAAGGGTAATAATGCCGGTGATATTACGTCTGCTATTATTAGGTGCGAACTGCTCGTTACACTGTAAACTGTATTCTCGTTTCCTCGCTGTGTGCGTGTACCGTATATATATATATATATGTGTGTGTGTGTGTGCGCGTGTGGAGGCACACGCAGCCACTGGAAACTAATGCCATTCAACATAATTAGCGTTATCCATTTATGATCAAAACTTGTAGGTCCACGACTGGGTCTCGGTTGCACGATAAACAGAGAGACAACTTCGATACGTCAATGTTAAGCCAACTCTCATAGTTGGGTAATTACGAACAGGTAATTATTGGAAACGTTTCTCAACGGCGAATCTCAACAGCCACTTTCGGTTAATCTGCATTTTCGATAAAGAAAGAGATTTTTATTTTTCTTTCGTCGAATTATTTTTTTTCTTTTTTTTTTTTCTTTTTTTTTTTTTTTGGATTTCGTTCCTCCACGAGAGTTATGCAATTAGGTGATTAGGAATGTATGTATACAAATTTTTACAAAGCTTTTTCTTAAGCAATAATTAAATTTTATCTCCTCTCTTCCATTTTTTTGTCGAACAACAAATGGAGAATTTTGAAGAGTTTCTGAATCGAATTAATCTCTCTTTGACGTATTTATTATCTATTTCAAGTTCATAAAAATCGATTATTAAATTTTTGCTTAATTTATCTCTTTCAATTTATTTGGTCCCGCCATCGCACAATACAGGAGAAATTTTCGAAAGCTTTTTAATTGCTTTTTTTATCTCTGCATTCGGAAAATTTTCAACGCGCAATTTGTATAGAAATTAACTTTATATATATATATATAGGTCACGCATCAAATTCCAAATCTGTACAAAACATCCAAATCGTCTTCCAATTAATCGCGATGAAATATTTTATCCCGATGAAATATTCTCTCGTTCCATTTTATCTCATTCGACTAGGACGAATCGACTAGGAGAGAGAGAGAGAGAGAGAAACAGAGAGAGAGAGAATTCGACAGGAAGCCACCATCGGGGGTGAAATAGGACGAGAACACCGCACGATCGACTACCGTTCAAATATTTAAAGTTTTTGTTCCCTTCCCTGAAATGTCTTTGCGCGATCCTTTCATCCATCCCCTCGACAAGGGGGGAAGGGTAAAAGTTCCGGTGTTCCCTCTCTGATTTTTCTTTGATTCGACACAGGCCCGGAATATAAATCTAGGCCAGAGTTCGTGAATGCTTTATGACGCGGAAACACCACTCGAGAACCTGTCCTGTGTGTATTTTCACGGGACGGCTGTGTGCACGTGTACGTGTACGCCTCTCCTCTCTCTCTCTCTCTCTCTCTCTCTCTCTCTCTCTCTCTCTCTCTCTCTCTCTTCCAAAGAGAGTAAATAAGTGGCTCGTCTACCTAGTTTCTCCATCGAGAGAGTGCATGAACCACTTCCTCGACCACCTTTTCTTCCTGCTTGGCGAATCCTTAACGAATCCTAGATAACGAGCAAATTAAGTGGCGAGCAATTAAGTAAGGCGTCAAGTTCATCTTTCCTTTTCTTTTTTTTTTTTTTTTTTTCTTTCCTCGTCTCGTACACGGATAAAACGCGTGGATAAAAATTTTTCCATCGTCTGTCGTCGCGTAAGATTCGAAAGATTTTAATGAAAGGATTAGGGTTGCAATTATACAGGGAGAGAATATTTTTATCGACGAGAATATCTGTTTGGGTTTCAAGTTCCAAAGTGTTTGATCGATTTGGACGTAGAAAGAATTATTGAATACACCACGTTTAACGATTTTCAATCGACGTCAAAACGCGTCGTTAATTAGAAGCTGTTGGAGTCGAACAACGTTTAGATAATTAGACGCACGGCACGTTTACAGTGCGGTTGGTGCTTCGCCACAGGTTCCTTCGCCTAATTCAATCGATGTTGATTTTGCTGTTGCAGTTGGACAGGTTCAAAGAGCCCCCGGCGTACGGGCCAATGTGCGATCTACTCTGGTCGGATCCGTTGGAGGACTTTGGAAACGAGAAGAACGCCGAACATTTCTCCCACAACAGCGTCAGGGGTTGTTCGTACTTTTACAGGTAAACGTTTATTATTTATTAAAATGCTATCGAAATTCTTTCAAATATTAACGTATTGCTCGTTATTGAAACTTTTTCTCAGAAATCGTATCGTTTCGTTTGTTGTTTATTTCAGTCAATTTATAAAGATATCTGCAATGTGCATTATGGGGGTTTTATCATTCTATAGCGGTTTTTCCCAAGAAAAGATGAGAAAGAAATTTCTATGTCGCACACTCGTTGTTATCAGATATGCACAACCATTTTGGATTTTGTTGCACTTTTCGCCGTTTTACAAATGTTTTTTTTTATTTTTACTCATCGAAAATCATTATTCGAGAACACCTGTCGATATTTACTGTGTTATTTGAAATTAACAGTTATCTGTTTTTTTTTTTTTGTATCGTTCGTTAAAATCGTTGAATCACGGTTCCTTTGAACATGCTCGATGAAAGTTTCCAAAAGTATCGCGGATTCTTTCTGTCAGAATACACTGGAAAATCTACCGAGAGAAGCGATGATATAACTCCGACAAAGTCACTTTTGGATCATCTTTTTTTTGTATCTTTTTTAAACGTGTCCCGCAGGTGAATGAACAAAAACTCCTTTGACTGTTACTCGTCAAATATTTAACATTTTTTTTTTTTTTTTTATAAAGAAAATCGCGCAACTTTTACACGCGTCTCTGTCATTTGCATACAGGCATTTATACTTATCGAAAAGAATTAAGGAATAAAGTAGTTACTTTAGGACTAGTAATAGAAATAGTATATTGAAATATTTTTCTTTCGTTTCCCGTGATATTGAAAATATATAATACGTTTTCTTCTAATTAGATTAACTGTAACAAGATTTGGAACAATCACGCGTGTTAATTAACGCAATCTGGCTACAAAATGGAACGAAAATTATTTATTCGACCAATCGACTTAATTTTCCAATATTCGATCGAAAAACTGTTTCCCTCTTTCTCTCTCTTTCTACGCGAGATTACACAATTCACGATCGTGAATTTTCCACGGTTACTTTTCAAACCGAAGCCACGATAATTAAGCCGAACGACTGGTTAGCGTTGTTTACGAAGTGCGATTTAAACGAGGCCGTGTTCCGTCACCACCGGCAATTAGCCGAGCTAATGAAGGAGAATTGTGTTTCGTTTTAAATTTAAATTCGTCCGCGGCGAGCACCACCCCGAGCTGTTCCACTCACTCGCGAGTTCCATCTGGCCGGCTGATCACGCGTCGACTCGTGCTACTGAGAGAGCGCGCAGCCTTCGAACGTAATCTCGATGAAAGTAATTATCTCGAATTTCGGGATCGAGCATTCGATGAATGCATCCGACGAATGCATTAGACGAGGTGGTGGAGTTTATTTTGGAAATAAATCGAGGATTAAAACAGGGAAGCGATGAGAAACAGGGGCAAGATTATTTATATCCTCTTTTCGATAATTTCGATCGTGCATTTCCTCCTACTTCTATCATATTTGATTATAACGAATTCGATGAAGATTTCTCTGAACAACAATCGTTTTGTTTGAGGAGAAAGAGGAGGAAGGATTTTTCAATTTTTCCTAACTTTTATAAAATTTGTTAAGATAAATAATTTTAGATAGATAAAAATGTCTCGTCCTTGTATTAATGTTAATTGATATTGGGAAATTTTTACACGAAAAGAGAAGCGTTAAAGCGTTTCGAAGGCTAACGTCGATATTGTCCACGGCCATCGGTGTGTTCGTGTAAACAAATTAAGCACTAGACGTCAGTCGACCGACCTTTTTCGCGCTGACTTGGCCAAGGATCGCCAAGAAACACTCGAAGATGAAGGGAAGGCCGCAAATTACCCTTAAGCGGCGTTCACAATTGCCAATGATCAATCATACGTTCGTTCGTTCGTGTTGCAATCGAGAAACGAAAGACTTCTATCAACCTCGACGATGATGTAATTTAATTTAATTTTTTCCAATTTTCGTTTCACGAATCCTCTTTTCGTTTATTTTTTTTGTTTTTCTTATTTTGTAAAATTAAAATTTCGAATAAGAGAGTTTCGGTACGCTTCATATATACGCACATCTCGTTATTTCGTATTATTGCTATAGATCATTAATTATACGCGATATACGAGGCACGATTTATGAGAGCGATGAATCATTGTTCTCCATTAAAAACCCGTCATTTCGTACAAATTGCTCGTCCGCCGGAAGCGGATGATCCCGTGGGATAGTTATCGCGTTGAAATTCACTGATATTTGTTTCGTCACTTCGTTCCATACAGATATTTCATATACGTTTCTTCCTTTTAAAAATTCTCTTTCCAGTTTCCTATTTAAAATAACTCTTCGAAATTTCTACTTCGATGCTAATTATACAATATTAATTCGTGGATTCGTTTTCTCCAATCTTACAAAATTCGAAAAAAAATCTGAAAACAATCTTACAAACAAAAATTTCTCTCCTCGAATCTCGTCATATCTTTTATAATCGTTCTTAATTGAAATTATCAAAATATCTTAAATATCTTTTTTCGATAAATTAATATCACGTTCACACGAACGAACAAGAAAAAGGATTAACTGAGACGAAGAAGGAGGAGTCAGAAAGAAGGGAATCAGCCCGACCAACCTTATTAAAACTAATTGACTCGTCCGCAAAATCTATTTCTCTGCGTTTCCACGCGATCGATTCGCGAGATGGCCCCCGTCAGATGCTGATGATTTATCGGCCGCGTTATATTTTATAAACGCTCGGCCCTGTTATCGTGCAAGAGATGGTCGGATAAAATTACTGCACGCGAGGGGGAGGGAGGATGGGCGAGGATGGTTGAGGAACGGAGAGGGATGGAATTATCGCGAATTTTCGCGTGCGGCCTCGCGTGTGCTGCCTGTGCACCAACAAACCCCGAGCAAAATTGTCGAGAGCGTTTTAAGCCTCCCTTGCACCGTACTTCCGGCCAACCTTCGAACGAATTTCACGTGTACACATCACGAACTGTGTGTGTGTGTGTGTGTGTACGTATGCGCTTCTTGTGCAATATGGTGTTGGAAAGCGTGAGGTTGATTACGATAAATGTTGTAGGGGAAAGTTATAGGAACGTTAATTGATTCCGTTTAAGAAGTGAAGAAAGAAATGGGAAAGCTTGCTCGCCGGATGAATTATATTCGTTTTCGAATTATTGAGCATGTGAAAATTTTTTTTTTTTTTTGGAGCTTTGAATTGTAAGGTTTTTATTTGTAATAAGGTGTTGGCGATACAAGTTTCCAGAGATGAATCGAAGTAACTGTATCATCTATATTCCGATGAAATGGCGTAATAAATTAACACAAAAGGTTAATGGTAATGAAAATAATAACGAAAATCGATTTAAGAAATTCACTTTCCTTTCACGTCCCATTCGAACGAGTCTTTTGTGCAATTTCATGGTTTCGCTTCAACCGGTCCATTTACATATTATGTATAAAAGATACATTCGAGGTTTTACAATAGGTACGATGACAGTATCCGGTGAAAGATGGAATTGTCGCATTTTAAAATTAAATGCGTTTTCGATGTAGAACTGTGATAAATCATCGCCGATAAAACGGAGCAATATTTTCCAGCGACACGATTCCATCGAGTTTGACAGTCGACAGATAGTTTTTCATTGGTCGAAAGCTGTCCAACTGTTCGAAATATTCCGAAATGTTTCGAAAACGAGGCTGTTTCGTAATTCTCGATCTCGTTGTATCTCGATCGATGGAAATTATATTCATAAATATCTTTCGTAAATTCGCCAAGGGTTTCGCCAAGTTTCGTATTCTCCTCCCTCTCCTTTCGGCAATTTCATAACTAGAACAACTATGATAGAATTGAAGAATTGGGATACAACAACGATTCATTCATAAAAATTTGGAGTTTTAGGAAATTTTGAAAATCTTGAAAATTGGACACGTAAAATGGACGATCAAGATTTATTTTTAATAATCATTAAAAAAAAGAAGAAAAAACTATTTGGACAGAAATTATTGGCTCTCTTCTCTGGTTCAACACAATTCGATTAAAACTTATAGAAATCCATCGTAAAAAAAGAAAAGTCAATTGAAGGATCGTCGAGTAAAAGTAATTCGAGAAGCTAAATAAAAGCTGGTTGAAAGATTTTTATTGCATGTAGATAAATGGCTAACATAATCAAACAATCTAGTCCTAGAAACTCGGTCATAAACGGACTAATCAACGACACAAGGTAATCGAAAGGCGCGTATCATACGAGCCGTGCTGTCGAGGTCGCTGCATTTACGAGGAACAAGCGTAGTGGTTAGACGACGATTCTCACGCGATCATTTTACGACTCTGTCTCTCAAGATTCTACGACGACCAAGGAAACGCGAAAACCATCTCCGACGATTTCTTTATAGCGTCGTCGACCATTACGGACCATTGCGATCGAAACTTTCATCGCGTTACGTGAAATAATCCCACAAATATTATCCCTTGCTTCTTACTCCGGAAGAATGTTTCTATCGTTAATATTTGTATTCTGTCGTAAATATCGTGCGGATGGAAGTTATAAAGAAGTTATAAAGAAGTTATACGGTATTAAGCGAAGATGCGATTCCGTGAGTGGAAATTGGACATTTTTAGTAGAGTAGAAGAACCGTAGCAGATTCCGTATTTCGTGTGATAGCGCGTCCATCTACTATTATGTCTCGTGATTGCAATAATTATAAATGTAAACAATAACTATTTGGAATAATTATTGAATTATCGTTGTCCACCATTTTATTTATTGTCCATCTACAATTCTTTTGTTTTTCCACGATTCTTGCAATCACGTGTTAATCGTGTATCGTGTAAATTTCGTAAAGCGAAACTTCGAACCGGGAATCGAAAAAGCGTTAGATCAAGTGATACGAGTATATCATTAGTCAGTCTACGTTAAATTAATTATTGGATATATTTCAAGCAAAAACTTATTGGGAATAATCATTGAATTTCTTTCTTTCTAATAAAAGTATTTTCCTCGGAATATATATAAACTAGGAGGTTGCTTTTTTTTTTAAATTAATTATCATCTTGAGGGGTGTGATAGGGTTTTAAATCCCTCGAGACGAATAAATTATTTTTCTCTCTCAGTTACGCGGCGTGCTGCGATTTCCTGCAGAACAACAACTTGCTGAGCATCATTAGGGCGCACGAGGCACAGGATGCGGGTTATCGCATGTACCGGAAATCTCAGACGACGGGCTTCCCATCGCTAATCACCATCTTCAGTGCGCCCAACTACCTCGACGTTTATAACAACAAGGTGAATTGCATCGATAGATTTTATCACAGGAGAGGAAGAAAATCGTGTAAAGCGTCTCGAATAATTTTGAAAATATCTTTTTTTTTTTTTTTTCTAGGCGGCAGTGCTGAAGTACGAGAACAACGTGATGAACATCAGGCAGTTCAACTGTTCACCTCATCCTTATTGGTTGCCCAACTTCATGGACGTATTCACGTGGTCCTTGCCGTTTGTAGGTGAAAAAGGTAAGCGCGTTTTCATTCGAAAATTAATAATTATTGTCATTTTTTTCGAAGAATAATTTGTTTTCTATATTCTCGAAGAAATTATATAATAAGATCGATTAATCGATCTCGTGTTTCATTATTTTTTCGTGACAGTGACAGAGATGCTGGTGAACGTGCTCAACATATGCTCGGACGACGAGCTGATGAGCGACGGAGACGACGGGCTCGAAGAAGGTAATGTCCATTATCACTTCTCTCCCCCTTTCTTCTTTAATACGATACACGTTTCTTGCAGAGATTCTTCTTTCTCTCTATCTATCTATTTCTCTTTATATATATATATATATACATATCAGTATTTTTCTTCTTATTTTATTCAATCGGTATCCACTGGTTCCTCTTACATCGTGATCAGAGTGTTCCCTCTTGTGCGCCACGTTTTTCTCTTTTTTATGCTTGAACGATTAACCGATTGAAGGGAATGTACATATGTAATCCCATTTCCAATACCGTTTTTTTTTTTTTACCCGTTCGATTAAAAAAAGAGAAATTGAAATATCTTTACGTGTTATCCTTCTATCGAAATTTGTTTGAATAATAAATTTCTTTCAAGATTTTTTCTTTTTCTTTTTCTTTTTTTAACGTTCGAAGCGATTGATATTAATCGTTAAAGTGTTTCTTCTTCTTTCGTCAGATTAAAAGGAACGAATCGAAGGAACGAATATCGATTAGAAAATCTTGGGATCTTATTTTTTGTGCATTGGTTGTATATAAATACGTGCTCTAGACACGATTTAAGAGAGGCCATGTTCAAGGATCGGGAACGCGAGGATTCATCTCTTCTCGTCGCGCGTTAAAGTCTCAGAGAGATTGTGTAAGAGTGATGGCATCCCCCCTTGAATATCTCTGAATCTTCGCGTTCGACCGAACGACCGAGAGATCGATCGCGTGACTGCAAAGAGTTTAAAAAACAAACGAATCTCCTTCTTTTTTTCGATATCTCTTTTTATTATCACACCCTTTTTTTTCGATCCAGCTTCGATCCGCACTTCGCTTTTACGAGGAAACGTTTTGCTCGAGTGCTCTCGCTCTTCATTTTCCTTTGCTTCGTTTCAAATTTATCTTTCTTATTAAATTTGTAATGAATTGCAAACAGAGTTGGGGAAAATGGATTCTTAAAACGGATAAATGGGATAGATGAGTATTTTCATTTTTTGGAAAAAAAAAAATAAAAAATAATCAAAAAGTGAAAAAGAGGATATAATGATAATCCATGTTTTATTTTAATTGAATGGAATATAAGTATTTTATTTGTTTGACGCATTCAATGATATTCGTAATACATCTAATTGGATTTAGACATTAAATGAGAAGTGAATTGTCAAAAATATTTATTCGTAGAATATATTTCAGAATATTTTTAATATTTCTTTTTTTTTTAATCTATCTCAAATTTTCCCCAACTCTGATTATAAGTATTATATTATCTTATCAAAAAAAAAAAAAAAAAAAGAGAGAAAAAGAACAGAATCGTCGTTGTTCGAAATATTCCTCGTTCGAATCGATGTGAGGAACGAAACTCGTTCGTGTTCTTTTAAAATTTAAAAACACTTGTTATCGAATTATTTCCTTTCCGGCCAAATTGAGTTGTCTTAGAAGAAAAGAATTACACGAAAAATTTCAAAGAATCCAATCGAACTTAATAATAAAAATATCTCTCGAATTTTCGCGTTATCCGATCAAGACAACTCGATATGATAATTTTTTTCATAATTCACTTCGAAACCTTTCACTTCTCTTTTCGATAAAGGCTTTCAATATGTATATATATTCCCGAATTACTTTGAGATCTTTCAAAACGTGAACGTTTTTTAATCAGCTTTGCCGCCACGCCTCGATCCACCAACCGCAAAAAAAGAAAAAAAAAAAAGAAAAAAAAACTGCACCCACGCGACTATTTCCGAGTCATATATATATATATATATTTCTTCTCGATTTTACTCGAATCACACCCTTTCGTTCTACCCGTTAACCACCCGCTATTACGGCCGCACACTGTATTTTTTTCTCTCAAAATTTCACCTTTCTCGTGATTCAGAAGAAGCAAAAAAATATATATATAAAAAAAAATAAAATAAAATAAAATAAAAGTTTATTCAAATAGAACGTGAAAAAAGTAGTATTTTCAAAGGAACGACGATTAATGAAAACGATAAAGGGAAAATCGCGCGCGTGCATCACCACGACGAGATCTAATCGTCAGGGCGAGAATTTCGATAGTTTTTTGTACACATATTGTCTACCCACCCCTTGTTTCCCCCTCTCTTTACCCCCTCTCTTCTGCCCCCCTCCCTCCCCCCTGTCGAATGTAATTAAGATAATAATGTCGTGCAAAAAAGAAATAATTTTTTTTTTTTTTTTTATTAATTATACAATAATTCGACGAGATCGAATATCGAAAGAAAAGAAAAGAAATCCGTTTCCATATTCCCGCGGCCTCGACTTTCAGAGGAAGATTTTGAATTCTCTTTCTGTTTCCATTTTCACCCGCTGCACGGACAGATGGTAAGAAGCGCCACTCGACTCTTCTAATCGTCACATTATTAAGAGCTTCATTATTTATTATTGATCATTGATTTTATTTTTTTTTTCTTTTCTTTTCTAGCTATATATTTACTCTTTTCTTTTTCCATTAGATAGTGTCGGTGTGTTGGAGTATTTTTTTTTTTTCCTTCTTCCCTCTATATTTGTTTTTCTATTGTACCATTTCGGCGTTTCTTTTTCTTTTCTCTCTCGCCATCTTTCTTTTTTCATCTTTTTTTTTATTCCCTTTTCTCTCTCTCTTTCTCTCTCTCTCTTGTATCTTATATGCATACATACATACATCACATTCGTGTGTGTATGTATATATATATATATATATATTCTTTTCGTGTGTTCTTTCGATTCCTCTTTTTCATTCCTTTTTTTTTTTTCTCAAGAAACGGGGAATAAATAATCCAATATAAAGATGAAAAAAGAAAAAAAAAAGAAAGAAAATTTAGAAAGAAAAGGAAAGAAACAAAGAAAAGATTCGTTAATAGGATTTTTTTCTTTTTTTAGAAAAATATACATGGAATTATATATATTTGTCGAAGAGAGACGTATTCTTTATACTTTTACGATTTCTCCTTGAGTTCTCTTCTTTTTCCTTTTTCTTTTTCGCAATTTTTTTTCTTTTCCTTCGATCGAATCACACGATCTCTGTACGTGTAACGATTCTTCATTTTCTCTCTTACATTTCTCTATCTCTTCCATTCTGTCTTCTCTATTTTTGTCCACGTTTCGTGATTCGTACATCTCCTCGCATTAAACTACGATAGATTTTTTTCTATATTTTTTTTCTAGATCTCTTGTTGTCTTTATATATATTTATATCTATTCTTTGTTTCCGATCCTCCATGGATTAAATATATATATATATACAAAATGTATTCATATGTTATTTAAATTAATTCAAAATGGCACACGGCCTGAATTCTTGTCTGTCGCCGGTAGAATTATCATTCTTCTGCATCGTTACGTTATCATAGACATCATATTTTAGAAACTATATATTTCTATCACCTTATTCTATCTCCATTCAAGATGGTGCTTCTCTCTTCTCAGAAGACGATCCTTTCTTATATTTCTTATATTACGATCTGAAACTATAATCTAACTCAACCATTAGATCTGTATCTATTCAAATGAACTCCATTTTGGAAAAATATATTTTACAAAAACACTTTACTTCCTATAATTCCTGTTCAAATCTTATTTGAATTCCTATTATTATTCGATCGTAAAAGAATCGTGATAAATCTCTGTTCTTCGAATCCCGAAGAATTGAAACAAACGTAGTTTATTCTTAATGATAAATGTCTTAAAGTCAAAAAAAAACAAGAAATCGCGCCATCTTGAATGCCGTGTATCACGCATGCGACGACTATCCAGGCGCCGATTTTTTGCATTCGAAATCGGCACCTGATCGTTCGCAAATCTCGCAAATGTGTTTCTCACTTCAATCTCCACCAGCATCTCTTCTCCACTCTCATTCTTCTTTTATTTCTTTTCTTTCATTTCTATAATTCTAAAAGCACGACGCTCGTCTTGCGCGTACCATTCTCAAGTCCGGGGTCGATTATTACTTCGATTATTACTTCCTCTTCTCGCGTCACGCCTATTGTCCCACTTTCTCTCGCTCCCATTATGCATTCTCTCTCTCTCTCTCTCTCTCTCTTTTTCTCTTCTTCTTTTTTTTTCTTCTTTCATTTTCATTCCTCTGTTTCGTACGCGTTACGATCCAATATCTCTTCACCCGGTACACGTGCACCAATTGTAAAACGGCACCCCTCGGACTCTGGAGGATAACTGTTTCCCGATCAATCTACGATTCAGATTGCTCGCAATCCGCCATTGTATCGTTGTTCGGTACTTTTGCCAGGAGTCTCGAATATCAGAGATATCACGTTTGATGATAATTCGTCAAAGATTGGACATGATTTGATACGAGCTTTCCAAAGTTAGGAGATAAATGGGATGCCTGAGCAGTATGGATGAACTTGTCTGTAAATTTGGCAGGTTATGTATGTATATATATATATCGAAATGTGACACCGAAATATGATGATATATCGAGGATTGGCAGATGTTTAATCCGTTGAGTTATTCGACCGCAAGCTTGGGTTTGTTGAATTAATTAATCTTGGATAATAGTATTTGAAATGAGAAATATGATATTGAGATAAATCTTCAAATATTAATTTCGTTTCAATAGAAATGTTTTAATCGTTGAAAATATTCGTTCAGTCGAGTTTTTTTTTTTTGCGAGATTTTTCATTAAATTTCCTAAAGAGGAGCAATCTTTAGTACAAATTTCTTTAGTAAATTTTGAAGAATTTTATTTTTTTCAAGATCGGGAACCATCGATCCAAACGAGTCCGTGATAAAAACCTTAACCATAGAGATCCTCGTCCAATTAGGATTTCAATTATTAGGTGCGTAAATCGTGGGAAAAAACGAGATAATATCCAGATAAAGAGATTCGTTCATTCGGTTTTTATGATTATGATTTTGCGAGATCTCTTCGTTAGACGTAGCTTTGATCCCCCTTTCCCCCCCCTTCCCCCTCTGTCACCTGTTTAGGAACGACCCCTAGACCCCAGCCCTGCCCCCAGAATGCCCCCTGATTTTGAACAAGCCCGAACGATGTT